GTTATTTGTGGTGTCTGTATCTATATACTCCTCCACTATACTTTGAGCTCCTTGAGGGCAGGCATGTTTTATCCCCAGTCCCTAATACATATTTCTTAATGCTAATTCTGTGAAAAAAATGAATGACTAACTAAACAAGTCAAAAGCCTATCATATAAAAACTTACCATACTGTTACACTTCCTTAGTGGTTTTGTTCAGGTGAATGTAAAGTGGAACTTAATTTAGACAATGCTTAGATCCAATATTTTGTTCAGTTCCAGATGGCAGAATTAAGAAGAGCATTGACAGACAATAGTGGGGGGTAGGTAAGGGCGTAATGTCATGGAGGAACAATTGAAAGACTAGATATTTAGCATGGAGAACAAAAGTCTGAGGGCAGACAGTAAGCATGTTGAGGTAGGGAGTGCATTAGCTTGTTCTCCAGTGTGCCCTCAGCCCCCAGCACGCTGTCAGGCTCAGCAAAGGAGTTCAGTAACATTTGTTGGGTGAATGAGTGAAAACACATCTGTCATCAGATACTTGAGAAGCAGCTATTGTGGAAGTATAGTAAGAGCAGAGATATTTTTGATTCAGGTAAATACTTTACAAGGTTTTCTGTCACTGAATTTTATGATTTACAATAGTAATTTTATTTATTAATTTTATTATAAATTGTATTTATTTGCTATTATCACTCACTGGGCTAGGAGATGAGGATACAGTGATGATAAACATTTATACTCCAGTAGGAGATCACGTGAAGCAGTTTGTGCATTAAGCAAAAGGTGACCCTGTTTTCGGAGGTGGAAGCCAAAGTTCAGGAGTTAAGCAACTTGCCTAAGATTTCTTAAGTTTATGTGAGGATTCTCACTTCAAAACAATTAGTTCTAAGTTACTGTGCCATTTTGTAAAGGTTTAGGGATCAGCATATAACATTCCTAAGAAATAATGTAGCCTTTAAACGGTCACTTATACTTTGTTAAAATCATCACTTATCATGTTCAGAAATATTGGAGTCATTCTTGATTCCTCACATGAAGTCAGTCAGGCAAGAAATCACATTGGCTGTGTCTTCAGAATATATCCAGGATCAAGCATTTCTTCTTGCCTCTAATGTTACCACCCTAGCCCAAGCCACCTGCATCTTTCATCAGGGTTTTTACAGGAGTCCTCTAACTACTGTCTTTTCTTCTGCCCTTGCCTCCCCACGGGTTATTCTCAACACATCAGCCAGTGTACGGTCATGAGTTACTGTGTGTCGCTTCTCTGATCAAAGCCCTTCAGTAACTTTCCATCTCTGAATTAAAACCAAAGTCATTCAAAAGCCTTCAAGGCCAGACACAGTCTGGTCCCTGTCATCTCTCTGGCCTTATCTGGGTTACTCATGTACTTCAGATCTGTGTTCAGATGTCACTGTATCAGTAATATCTTCCTTCACCTCCTCAAATCAATTAATGGTCACCACTGCTCTCAACATCTTTGGACTATCTGTTTTTTCATCCCACTCTCCCCTCTTCCTACTGGCTCTAGCTCCTCTGTTGCTGTTGCATAGAAGAAGGATTAGAGAAAAGTCTTTTGACTTCACAGCTTGTATGATAGTTCCTTCATGGTTGCTGAGGCCCTGGTGCTGTCTGTCTATGGGTTCACGTGTGGCTTCTCTGGGGTGCCTCCCTGTGACATGGTTTTCTGATGCTGGAGGTCTGTTCTAGCTCCCCCTCTTTCTGCTTCCTCCCTCAGCTCCCAGGCTTGGTGCCCTCCACAGACTCCTACTCCTTGGGTACTGTGGCCCCTGGGCCAGATTGTTAGATGGGGTTCTGTCAAGATGACTCAAAGCCCTGCTTTCTTCCATGGTATCCATTGGGCACCCAGGAGACTAATATGTCCTTGCCGTGCCAGCTGTGACTTGCCTCTGTGCTCCACCAGCTCTCTCTAGTTCCCTTTTCTCTTGCTTAAGCAGGTACAGAGAGTGGAAAAGAAAGTCTACCGCATGAGTAGATACCCAACAGAGCAATGAGAGGCCAGCATCTTTTTCTCATAGGCTTCTCCCATTTGTGTGTGATTCTAGAAATCTCTCGCTTGGTTTTAGCATAGTGGGAACAGGGCATAGTGGGAAGTGGGCTGGGGAAAAAGCACTCCCTTCCTTAAGGGGAAAGAAGACTTTGTATACTTTCTCAAGGCCAGCAATTCCTGTGTCAAGGATCCTTCTCCAGTTCTCAGTCTGCTTACACTGTTGTGATGGGATGATGGCACAGTAGAAATTGAGCTGGATGTGTCCCTTCTTAGCAACTTCTGTGGAGTTGTGTCTAGCATGTGGCCACTCTCTTCAGAATGTGGGGGTCTTGCTGCCTGTTGATTCTCAGCTCCAGGGGTTTAGCTGCAATTCTGAGTTAAGGGAAAATCCTATTCAGAATCCTGGTACATATATTATTTGTACTTTAAGGGAGGGTCATTGGTGGAGTCTGAACTCTTAGGGATACTGGCTCTATTGTGTATTTTTTTATATATTGCTTAATTCACTGATTTATGAGATTATAATATGCAGTATTTGGCTATAAAGCATTAGACTAAATCTGAATCCTCTTTTATTCTTTTTTTTCTGTGATGAAACAAAAAATTATTAATTTTATTAAACCTCAAGTAAAACTATATTGCCATTATCACATTTAAACGGATATCATCAAATATGTAGTTCAAATGTCCCTGGTTGCCTCAAATTTTTGTTTTGTTTTGCTTTCTATTTGTTTTGTTCTAATCATGATCTAAAGGAGAGATACACAGTACATTTGGTTGATATTTTTCCTTCTTCTTTTTTTTTTTGACCGGTTTGGCACGGTGTGTTCTGCACCACGCTCAGCTAGTGAGCACACCAGCCATTCCTATATAGGATCTGAACCTGCAGCCTTGGCACTACCAGCGCCGCACTCTCCCGAGTGAGCCGCGAGGCCGGCCTGATATTTTTCCTTCTTAAATCTCATTTAATGCCACTCTTTTTTAGTCTTTTGTTTGTTGGAAAAAAACAGAATAACCTAAATTTTGTCCCCCCCCACCCCAACACACACACACACCTGAGACTGTGTGTTACACACCCTCCTTGTTTTGGCCTGGTGGAATGACTTCTGATTCATCATCAAGTCACTGAGCTGCACTGAGGGGCCTTACGAAGTTATGTGATTCCCACTATTCTCAAAGCTCATCTCCCCACCTTGCATGGGGCCTCTGC